TCGCGCTGGCTCAGTGGGGACCGCAGTGGTGAGGGCGGCGGGTCTGCGGCCGGGCGGGGCGCGGGTGCGCGGCGCAGGGGGAGGCCCGCGTCCCTCCCTTCTTCCTCCGCCGTGCGTGTGGAGCAGCGCCCAGGCTGGCCGGGGATGGCCGGAAACGGGCGACGGCGGGAGTGCGCCTCACGTGGGGCGGCCGTCGCCGCGCCCCAGGAGGTGTGAGGGTAGGAGGTGCGCTGTGCCCTGCCGAATGCCCGGGGGAGATGGGCGGCCAGGGCAGTGATGAGGCAGTGGGTGTGAGGCTGAGGGTGAAGATTCTCTCTCTCTGTCGGCGTGGGTTGTTGGGGTCCTAGTCCTGGGTGGGGCCTGCGGACCTTGATGTCACTTCCAGCCCGGAGGGTCTGGCCGGTGTGAGCCGGTGCGGCCGGGAGAGAGGCGGCGTGGACGTTACATGGTTCTGGGGCGCTGATACCAGGGAATCCTGGCGAAGGTGTGGAACTGTGACTGTCGTTACTGGGAAGTATTGGTCAGGCCCCTGTGGGCCAGGCAGCTTCGCTTCATGGTCACAGTTACGGGACCCTGGGAAGAGGGGTGCCGAGACCTCCCTCTGCCCCCAGGAGGCAGGTCGGGGAAGCTCCACGCCTCCCCGGGGAGGAAGTGGGACGCCAAGGTTTTGAGCCTCGGGAACTGGCCCTCGGTTTGCGTCGCCGCCTGCCCCGGCCGTGAAGCGTCCGTGGCCCGTTTCCCGCAGCCCGTGGTCGCGGCCCTCGGTAACCTCCTCTCTGCTTCTCCCTCAGACGCTGCCAGGAGCCCCGTTCTTCGCGTGGGAGCCGAGCTGCACCAGTCCCTGGACGGTTATGCGGCCAGCTTGGCCAAAGTCATAGAGGCCGAAGCCAAAGTCAAGCTGTTCGGGGAGGAGGCGTTGCCAGGGATCCTGGCCACGGCCCGGACCGTCCCCGGGGCTGGCTTCGGGGGCCGCCGGGGCAGCAGGACGCCTGCGAGTCAGCGGCTGCAGCTGCAGAGCATCGAGGAAGGGAACGTCTGAGCCGCAGGACGGACATGAGGGGCTCAGGGTGGACGGTCCTGCAGGGGGGCGCCTGGGGAAGCACATCTGGGGGCCGCCACCAGGAAAACACTAAGTACAGGGTCTCGTGAGGCCGCATGCCGGCTCCGGGTGGGTCATGGTGATGGGACCAGAAGCCTCGGAGGCACAGAGGCCAGCAGCGGAGATGTGGCCATGACTTTTGGGGGCGTGTAGAAGGGGGACCAGGGACCCTGGCTTGGAAGGAAACCACCACATGGGTTACCGCCTCTTTGGGACCCGGGAGTCGCGTGGGGCACTGTCCCCGAGGTCTCAGGAGGGCAGCCCATTGCGGTGTGCTGTGGAGGACAGCAGGTGTCCCCAACAAAGCAGGATGATCCCCTGGGCCTCTGCACGGCCGATGTAGGCTCCGCCGACCGCTCCGCACAGAACCTAGAGCAGAGCCCCTCACGTGGGCTCCGCACGCCTCCGTCCTGGTGGGGACCTTGCGGTCAGCGGGAGCTGCCCGCTGGCATTAGGGGGGCGGCTCCGGCCGTGGGGCTGCTGTTGGAGGGGTGGGGGCCGTCCTGCCCGCTTCCCTGTTGACTGACGCTTTGCTGTTCAAAAGAAGGGAGCAACCACTGTAAGAGACGAGGAAGGGGCGGGATGTTTCATTTCCAGAATAAAAAAACAGTCCATTTGGTTCAGACACCCCGATCTTCCCCAGGCGGCCGGAGGCTGTGGTGCGGGAGCCAGAGCTGCTGTCCTCCTGGGAGGAAGCCCCTCCACGCAGGGAAACCTCATCTGCTGGGTTGTGCGTGCGACCTGAGCTCCTGCTCAGAGCACCCGGGTCCTCGGCGCCGGCTGGGGCCCCAGTCCCGGAGCAGCCTGGGGCAGGAAGGGGTGGGAGAGAGGCTCGCCGCTTGGGCCCTTCCGGACTGCGTGTCCCCTCTCAGAGCCATGCGGAGAGCGGGGTGAGGGGCTGGAGGTTGGATTGAGGGTGTCCGGGATTGCACCCCACTGTGATCTTTGCTGTTCTCTGAATCTGGGGGGTGGGGGGGGACCCTTTGACCACCGCGGGCACAGCGCTGATGCTGTCTGACGGGCGCCCTGCGACCCAAGCAGAGCAGGGGCCTCCCTGGAGGCCGACCCCAGCCCCCAACCCGGATGCAGAAGTTGCAGGGGTGTAAGCTGTGTGGCGAGAGCTTGCCTGGCCCCCTGTGAGGAGGGACTGCAGCTGTGCAGGGGGGAGCACGGCCAGGGGCTCCCCACATCCGGCCTCCCGCCGGTGACCGAGCGCGAGGCCGTCAGCAGTGGCGGGTCCCAGAGGCGGCTCCTCCCCAAAGCTTGTTCCCCCACACCGTGTTCCTGGGGCATCGATGGCTCCCGGGGTGCCGTGCCGCGTCCTTTTGCCAGAAGCCGGTGGCCAGCTGTTGGCTGAAGGCCCTTCCTGCGGCGTGGGGCTTGCAGCCTTCCTGGGGACCAGGCCCGTCAGCAGGGCTCCCGGGCGGTGCCGGGTGCTGGTCTAGGTTTGGGGGTGGGGGGCAGTGGCTTCTCGGGGGAGCAGAGGCGGGTTGCCCTGTGGGCTCTGCTGATACGTGCAGGTCAAACTCTGTTCCCGCCGGGGTGGGGGTCCCGAATCTGAGGTCATCGCGTTTTCTGCGCACCGTGCATTTCCCCTGCACTTGCCAGCAAAGGGACACGTTCGTGCGCAGCCGGGACCCGCGACATGGCCTCGCTCTCTGGGCTGGGGCGGCCGGGGCTTGCGCGCCCGCCTCGAGGGCAGCACGTCGGCCTGGCCCCCGGGGTGCAGGGGGTGCCTCTGGACCGCACAGGCTGGGCTCCAGGGAAAGAGGCTGGAGACCCAAGTCCCCACTGGCGGGCAGATCCCACGCCAGCTGGGACCCACCAGGGTTTCATCCGAGCCGTCTGGGAACCCCAGGCTGCGCAGAGGGGTTCCCGGCCGTCTCCGGTTTTCCGAGGAGCGGCGGGACCGCGCGCCCCCGGCCCGTGCAGACGCCCCAGGGGCGCGGGCAGCCGCTCTGCAGCCCCGGCCTGTGGCTCCCGGGGAGGCCCGGCCCGCAGCGCTGCGCGCGTCCCGGACGGAGGCAGGTGTCCAGGCGGGCAGAGGGACCCGGGGCTCCCCGCGTTCCGCGGTTCCGAAACCCTCCTGCCTTGACCGGCCGGAGCGAGCGGAGCGCGTGCGGAGGGAGGCGGGGCACAGCGGGGCGCGGAGGACCCGCACCCTTTCTCACGTCCCCCAGGCTTCTTCGGGGACACCTGCCGCCGGCGCCCCCTGAGCCCGGCCCGGCGGCTTTCCGCGCTGCGCCGCGGCGGCCTGCGGCCTTCCTGGGGACACGGGGCCGCGCGGTCGCCGAGGGCCTCGGTGCTGCGGGTCCCGGTTTGGGCGGGACCTCGTCGAGCGCTGGTGCCCGTCACTGCCCCTCTCCTGGAAGTTGCCACTGGACGGGGTCCCTGTGCTGTGTCCCGGATGCCCGGTGCGGGGGCTCCGGGGGCGCGCGCGCCTCGCCCCCTCCCCGGCCAGGGCGGCGGCCGTGGGGCCGGGGCCGGCCGGGCGGGGGGAAGGGGGCCGCGGCCGGCCGGTCGGCTTCCGCGCGGAGCCGGTGCCTCGGACCCGGCCGGCCGCTCGCTTCCTGCGAGACCCGCGGGGCGCCGGGGACGGGGACGGGGGGTCGAGGGGCGCCGCCTTCCCCAGCCCCGCTCCGGGCCGCTGTGCGGGGTGCGCGCGGGACAGCGCGGGTCAGGGCTTCCGGGCGCGCCCCCACCCCGCGGGAGGCCCTGGGAGGCGCGTGGTTGGAGACGCGTCCCTGCAGGGGCCGCGGGTGCGGAGGGTCAGCCCGGAGCCTCCGTGCACGGCCCGGGGCGGGTGCCGTGGCTACGACTCGGCGGGGCGGGGGACGCGGCCGCGAGGCGGGCCCCCTCCGAGGCGACCGTGCGGACGGCGGGGGCCGCGCGGTAGCGTGCGGGGCTGGAGCCGAGCGTCCGGGTGCAGGGGCGCGGCGGGCCGGGAAGCGAACGTCCGGAGGAGAACTGGCGCCGGGGTGGGAGGCGCTGGGGGCCGCCGTGTGGTCGTTTCGCTGCGCCGCACACGAGGCTCTTGTGGGAAGGCAGGAGTCGGGGAGGAAAGGGGGACGCGGCGCTTGGAATTTAAGAGGCTGAAGGAGCAACGAGCTCTCCTGTTAGCGGCGGCCCGAAGACGGTCCCTCCCCACCCCAGGGCCTGCCTGGTCCCAAACCCGGCAGGAGCTCGGCCTTGACCTCCCTCACAGCCTGCTTGGCCGTGGGTCTCGGGCTCTCGGAGTCCGTGATCTTCCAAGCCCCCGTGGCAAGAGGCCACACAGGGGAGGGGAGTCCATGCTGGGACCCACAGTGTATGCAGAACCCCAGGTGAATCCCACGAGAGACGGAAGGGACATCCCAGTTCACCCCGAAGCAAAGGGAAATGGCGGTCATACGTGACTATAGGAGGGGACAGTCTGACCACCCTTCCGGGTTAGGGAGCAGGGACACACAGAATCCAGGGAGGCCTGGGAAAGCCTAGGGCCTGTCTGACCTCCCAAAGTACATTAAGCCAGAGTCTGGGTCAAGTGCCAGGTCTTGGCCATGAGACTGTGCAGAGGAAAGGGGAGGAGGGGAGGAGGAGGGACATTTGAGTCATCGTCACTAGAACGGCAGCAGGTGGGAGACAGGGCAGTAGGCCCGAGAGCTTGGGAGCCTGATATCGGCTGGCCAGACCTAAAAACTGCAACCCGAGGCCAGCGACTGGATTTGTTTGGAAGGTTCCAAAGCACAAACTTGAATCTGGGTAGGATTACCAAGAAGGCAGTTTTGCTCGGTTATTTTCAGAATGTAATACAAAGAGCGGTCTGTGTTCATTTCCCTCAGAATTTTCCTGAATATTAATAGCTTGGGAATTAGAAGCCATTTCTGGTTTTCTTTTCCAACCACCATTTTGGAATATCCTACGGCACCGACAGCTCAGCCCCTCCCAGATGAAAACACAGCCCCACGAGGATCCCTGGGATCCCGGGGATCCCGAGCCTCGGCAGGCACAGCCGCTTGAGGATCAGGGAAGCAGGCCCGTCACTCGGGTGTGGGTGCGCTAGGAGACGGGGTTCTGGGCCGTGTTCTGATACTGGGCCTCTGGATACAGAAGTTGTTACAAACCCTCAAAGCAAAACAAAAGCAAGCTAATCCTGAAACATATTTCACTTGAAGTTTTTGGATAGTTTTTTTTAAAAGATAAAAAAATATTTAGTATTATAAGTCATCGTATTTATAAACGAGTAGAAGCATATTTAGAATAGCTTTATCTGATTAAATATCTGTTTTGGTGCATGTATAGCTGTGGAAGTTGTGGATCTGTACTTGGACTGTGGACTCTGTGTCCCCCTTGGCCCACCGTGTGCCTCCATGTCCTGGAGTGGGGCCTCCCTCGAGGGAGCAGGCCACAGAGCAGGCAGGAGCTGAGGGCTGTAGAAGCGGGAGGGATGACGCCCATACCACACACCCCTCCGCACACCCATCCTCGTGCTGTTCACGAACACCTCCGAGACAGCTAGATTCAGGGAGGGCTGTTCCCAGAAATACAGAACACTCTTATTTTTAATTATTTATTTTTTAAAGATTTATTTGAGAGAGAGAGAGAGCGAGCGAGAGCATAAGCAGGGGGGGAGAGGGAGAAGCAGGCTTCCTGCTGAGCAGAGAGCCTGATGTGGGGCTCGATCCCAGGACCCTGAGATCATGACCTAAGCTGAAGGCAGAGGCTTAACTCACTGAGCCACCCAGGCGCCCCCCCCCCTTTAAAAGATTTTTCAAGTAATCTCTACATGCAACACGGGGCTCAAACTCACAACCCCAAGATTAAGAGTTGCATCTGTACTGACTGAGCCAGCCACTGGAGTCCCATCCACGCCCAGCTGGAGAACACCCGGCAGCCTGGGGCAGGGGAGGGAGCACGACAGCAGGGCTGAGTCTGCAGGAGCGTTTCAGACCTGGGTGGAGGCAGCCGAAGTCGGGCGGAGTTGAACACTCGAGTCAAGGAAGACCCGGGATGGTTAAGACAGGACGGTCAACAGCTTTCAGCTGAAATCTAGAAGGCAGAGAGAGGACGAGCAGAAGCCAGAGCTTTCCAGGCGAGCGTGCGCCAGCGCGTCTCGGGAGCCGGCCGTGATGCTCTGTGCTTGCTGCTGGAAGCCGAATCCTATTTTTGGGGAGAGAGGCTCTACTAATGGGGACTGACGGGGCTGGAAGTGAAGATAATGTGCTCTGGAAGGAGAAGCGAAAAAAAGCTCCTCTGTGTGATTCTATCTCACGGAAGCCAAAACAGGAAAGATTAGCAAATCGAGAATCAAGAGTCTTATGTTACCGAGAAGACTGGAAAATGTGGGTGAAGGTAGTAAGGCATGAAATAAAACGTCAAATTCAGGATATCTTAAAACAACCAACTTCTTTAATTAGAAAGCAACAAACATGCAAATGGCAAGTGTAGAAATTTATTTGACCAACATTTTCACTTTAATGAAAATTACTCTTCCACATTGATCCAAGCTCTCATATCTGAAGGTTAGGGAAAATATTGCACTTTGCATTTTCTAGCACTCCTCACACATGGCAAAAAGTTTTTAAAACATTTTGCTAGTTTTGTTTTCCACACTCTCCCAAATTCATGCACACAATCATTCCAAAC